TTTATTACCTAAAATTCATTGTCTAAATACAATCTAATTATTGCTATCTTAATTAACGTTATCTTATTTTACATTTTATTCTTAATATGGATTTCAATATAATTAAATATATAGAAGTCATACATGAATCGAATTCGTCATTCATTGCATTAATATTATGTTTATGATCAAACATAAATCTATATATTAATACAGATTACAGAGTAAACAATAAAATATTTTACAAAACTCTATAAAAACTAAATCTATTAAAAAATGTGTTTACATTCTATATTATAAGTATAACATTCTAATTATATATTACTATTCCATCATGGTGGCTGTGAACTGTGGCGTAAGTGCTACAATTAATATTTAAATTTTCTTTACTAAATACCCAATCGATGTGCGTACCGTGATTCGTTGTTGGTATATTTCTCTCCAACTTTGATAATAAGCCCATTGAACGAAGAGCAGTTTCAATTGTACTAGTTCGACTACTTCTACAGATATTGAAATCCCCGACAATTACAATATTTGAATTATCGCCGAAACGTTCTCTAATATCACATATAGCTTCAAGTAAAATACGTTTGAAGTTGCATTCGGGATATGAAGAATTCCTGTAAAGTACTATAAGATACAAATCTCTGAATTGGATGAGGGAATACTGAAATGATTTTCTGCCTCTGCTTAGATCTTTTTGACAAATAATATTTGCCTCAGAAAACTTTTCGTTCTTAATATAAATTGCGATACCCCTCTTATCTCTTACTCTTCCTTCAGTATGATTGCAATCTATTCGTGACAATATTGAGAAATTGTCAAAGAAAAGTTCTTCTTCCGGGTATGTCCACGTTTCCACAAAACACAATAGGTCACAATGCATTAGAGTGACATCACTAGAAATATCAGAATGATGAGCACTCAGACTTTGTATGTTTTGATAAAATATTGTGAAAGCGTTATTCGATGTGTTAAACTTACTATGCTGCAAGTGTATGGCTTTATGCAATCTAAGCCGTTCCAATTCTATTTTGACAACATCAGAGCTGCAGAAAGGTTTTGGTGGAGTAAATGTTCCAATAATGTATAGCCCACTTGCTTTAGTGGCTCTACTACAAGCGACATAGAGAGAAGCCCTACTCATACCTTTCCGAACATGAACAGCAACTTTTTCATAGGTTGCGCCTTGACTTTTGTGTATGGTTATACCTTCTGCAACTACCAATGGAAACTGTAAGCGTTCTATAGTTATTTGTTCATTCCGTTTGTACTGGAACGTTCGGCGGCACTTTTCAATGGGAGTCCACAATAATTCTGTGGGATGTGGTTTTTTTCTTCTCGCCATTCTTCCAACACTTTCATCAGAAAATAAGATCCAAAGCGTTATTGGTTTTGTTGAGTTTCTACCAAAATCAATATGCTTCAGTATGCCAGTGGCTCCATTGACTAGGCCATCGTTGGTATCAATATTGATCGTCATCATATATTTTGCACTCAATTTTAATTTTAGTTCACTACAAAGTCCTTGCGTTTCTGAGGTCTTTAAATTGAGAACCGAACTTAAAATTTGATTCCGTTGACCGATAGCTAATGAATCTGACTTCAAAATATCGGATGCCTTGGAAACAAATTGTTCAGATGTGATTTGTTCCAATCTAAGGGAATTATAATTATCGGTTTCTTCGTTTGACAGGAATAAATGAATTGCTTCATTTGGTATCTCCGATGTTGGTATGACCCTTGACTTTATGAGCGAAACATCTTCTTCAGTCATTTCTCCAGTTGACATTCGGTTCAGTGCAAACGCGAAATCTTGGTCCTCCCTTTGTCGCATTATCTCTGTTAGCTCATTAAAGGAAAACAGATCCCACAAGCCACCCCCTGCGAGGATGTGGTATGGATTAGCAGTATTGGTACTAAATATCCATTTATCCCCAACTGGAGGCAGTTGTTTTAGATCTCCGAACAAAACTATAGAGATTCCTCCAAAGGCTTCAGTGGTTTTAAAAATCTGCCTCAGGCGTGCGTCAAGGAAACCTAACATTCTACATCCAACCATGGAGACCTCGTCTATTATGATCAATTTCAGATCTGTAAATTTAACCAAGAGCTTATTAACAAGATCACTGCTTAGTGGACGTAGCTCTCCTCGGAACTGGTTTACTGGAAGGGAAAAAAGTGAATGTAATGTCGCACCTCCAATTCCAAAAGCAGCTTTTCCGGTAGGAGCACTTAATAATACTTTTGGCAAATCCGGATTAGCGCCAGGTATAGAATTATATCTAAAAGTAACTGCCTGATAAATAGTTTTTATAAGGCGACTTTTTCCTACGCCAGCTCCTCCCGCAACATACTCATAAAATCGAACTTTCTGAACTATATTTTGTAAAAGATGTTGAAAATAAGACCGCTGTTTATTGTTCAGCGTTCTGATTAAATGCTGAAGTTCTTCGAAATTTACTAATGGTGGGAGTCTTACTAAGTGTACATTGGCTTCTGATTCCAGGTCATCTTCATGGTGGTTGTCAATGTCGAAGACATTTATATTTTCCTCTAATTCTGGAACAACCAAGGCTCTAAACTCCTCGTCTAAAAGTTGGTCACTTGTAATGTTATCGTTACTCGCATGGTCTTCACCACCATCACTGTCTTCACGAATACTTTGCAATATATCATGTAATTCACCATCCTTGAACATTTCAAACTGCTGTCGGTTCCTTTCAATTACATCCATGTAGATAGAGCAGGTATCTTCGTTGTTTCTTCCTATAATGTCTTCGTCTTCGTTACGCCATGGAAAGTATAACATAACCAATGTGCGAAAATAGTCGTCCCTGTTTAAGTCGGCCCTAAATGAGGGAAAACGAATTATAGCCGGACTTCTTCTTTTATATACGTAACCCGAATTATTTTTTAAGCGAAACAAAGCCCCGACATCATCAGGATGTTCCTCGTCATCTTCAAGAATATCTTCATCCTCCTCATCATGTTGACGATTCCTTTTGCGCAATGTCTTAGAGTATGTATAATGTGCAGCGAAATAAGCCAAACATACATCGCCTAGATTATCCGGTCTTTGAATATAATGCTCAAGTAAATTCGATACATAAATATCGGTTGAATCAGGAGAAAGATTTTGAAGCTCTTGCCTCGGTTTTAGTATGCGAACACGTTTTTCTGGCAAGAGAGTATTGACATAAACATCACTGCTGCTACACTGAGACAAATGCATTCCCAAGATATTGTAAGCTGCTTCTTGGGCTGAGACTTCGGATGCTGATATGAATTTATTACCTATATGCTGCAACTTTTGTTTTACAGAATAATTTCCTTCACGTATCTCGTTCATTGTTTCTTGCAACAAACGTGAAACACCCCGATTCGACTTGTTTATATAGTTAACTATATATGACACGCATGCATAAGCATCCAGAACAAATTGAATATCCATGTTTGCTTTGTGCATTTTTAAAATCCGCGAATTAAAAGCATTTATTGATCTGTCTTTGAAGGATCTTTTAAGAAAAATTTTAGGTTTTCTTAGAGAAGATCTGATCGCCGCAAGATATTCATCTTTGTCCATATTAATCCGTGGGTCTGCCAAAAACTGATCAAAATTATTTAATCGTTCACATTCTATATCTGTTAACTTTGCGTTAAGTAAATTATAAATTTTGTCATAGTTGCACTTATGAGCTGATAATTGTTGCTCATCTACATCATCCGAAAACGGCAAAAGAAGTTCCGTATTAGACATTGGCGGATATGGTATATGAAATCTACAGAATTTTTGACCTCTTATTTCACGTTGGCATGCTCTTCCGTGGTTGTGTTGCTGGTAGTGGACTATGTCTTGGATTTCGCTATTAGACGAATCTGTAGAAACAAATTTATCTACAAAATCCGTAACACGTTGGAAGCTATTTCGATCTGATATATCAAACAAAGGGGCATTGTTTAGCCAATATATGCCGTGGACATGAGGAGACCCTCGCTGTTGAAATTCTATTCTCCAGTAGAATTTGATTACATTAAACTCGTCGAATATTCCACCATTAACCGTGAAACTTTTGAAGAGGTGTCTTATTCTGTGGTCAAAATACCTGGAACATGTAATTGGATCTGACCTAATTAGTTCGTACCGTTTTTGGGTGCTAAATGACATTGCCTCTTCTTCGGTAATATTCCTTCCTTCTGCAATTTTTACCAATATAACGATCAATTCTGGCCATTGTGATTCAGCAGCAGAAAGAGTTATAAAGAACGTTGGAATGCCAAATTGCCTGATCATAGCCAAGACCTTCTTTTTCTCTGCCTCCCAATGTGCTGGAGAAGACCGCACGCCTTTCAAAATGTGATACCCTTCGTCGTGCTGCACTATATTTTGTATGAACCGGTCATTAAGAGCATCCGTTGCAGTATAATTGCGAGTACCAATTTTCTTCCTCAAACAAGTAGAAATACTGTTCTTGATTTTAGAAAACTCTAATTTTTTATACGAGTATAAGACTTTGTCTACCCGCGCACATCTTCTATCATAACGCCGGGCTTCAGATTTTATCAATTTTGCTATTGTCGCTGTAGATTTTCTTTTAATACCACAGTATATAGTGGGAAATGATAGCTCTTCAGAGTCCTCATCTAATAGCAAATCCATGGGTCTATGGCCTTCACCAGGAGCTATTTCAATATTTTGAATTTGAACATTTTCGACTGGAATATAATCTAAGAGGGTTTCTTGGGGGTTATGTTCTTCAATGTGATCTTCATCTAAGTTAAAATCAATGACGCTCGATAATAGACTTCGATCTTCGGAATTTGCTATAAACGGCACTTGATCAGCAGGACCCATATTGGCCAACCATTCAGATGAAATACAAATTTCATGTTTCCTGTACAATTCGGTTTCAATAAGGTATCTTGCTGCTTCGAAAATTTTGCCGGGCCGAATCGTTTCAGACATAAAATAGTGTGTGTAAGATATTCTTCGCTTCAAATGAACCTGGATAACTTCAGTTTGATCGGCCGTTCTTGGAAGGACGTTGACGGTGGAATCGAGTGAAATGGGGACATTTACTACTGCACCCCTTACAGCACACTGTCGATTATAACCCAATGAAACTATTCTCATAAAGGGAATTCGTGGCGCAACAAACCTTTCTTCCAGCGACGTCAAGCCCTGAAGTTCACTCGGAATAGCTGGAAAATGTAGACCTTCTGAGAGACACATAGAAGGAACCTTCCCCGCATTGATTATTTTGTGGCATGTGTTGCAGAATTTATATATATCGTTATCAGATGGAAACTGGTCTGAAAGGAAAAAAACTGTACTTAAATTTGGGTATTTTTGTAGAACAAATGTTTTGCGGAGAGTCTTAATTTGAGTAACAAACCAAAGACCTCCACAACAAATACAAACTTCTGTGGGTCCGCTCTTGATAATATTGCAAAAATTGGAAATTATCCTAGCTCTGCACCTCAAAGTATCTTGAATTTGTTGTTGTGACCTCGAATCCGGCGACAAATTTCTTCTCCTTGCTGAACTTCTCAGAGCTTGTCTCATGTTTATATTTTCTCTGTTTGTAGGATTCATACGATGAATAAGGACGCGGCAACTTCTCATCCTGTTTTCTGCTTCTTGCATTTGCATAGCAACTTGTCTGGTGACACGACGAGCTGAAGTGTTCCGCTCTTGTTCCATAATACGGAAAACTGGATTTCTTCGACGTACTCGGTGCATTGCTGTGTCTCTCTCTCTTTCGACTTGGCGGTATTCTTCATTTTGTCGCCGAATAGATCTTGCCAAAGAGTCCCTTTCTCGTTCCTCTCCACGATACGCCGGATCCATTCTTCGAATAGAATGGACCAAAGTGTCCCTCTGTTGTTCCTCCTCCCGGTAAGTTGGATCCATTCTCCTAATAGAGTGGGCCAAAGTGTCCCTCTGTTGTTCCTCCTCCCGGTAACTTGGATCCATTCTCCGAATAGAGTGGGACAAAGTGTCCCTCTGTTGTTCCTCCTCCCTGTAAGTTGGATCCATTCTCCTAATAGAGTGGGCCAAAGTGTCCCTCTGTTGTTCCTCCTCCCGGTATGTTGGATCCATTCTCCGAACAGATCGAGCCACAGTATCCCTCTCTTGTTCTCCTTCCCGAAATGTCGCATTCATCCGATGGATAGAGTGTGCAAGTGTATTCCTCTCTTGCTCTTCTTCGCGATACGTCGGATCCCTTCTTCGCATTGAGTGGGCTACCGTGTCCCTTTGTTGTTCCTCCTCCCTGTACGTCGGATCCATCCTTCGAACTGAATGGGCCAATGTGTCCCTCTGTTGTTCTTCTTCCCTATACGTTGGATCCATTCTTCGATTAGCGTGAGCCAAAGCATCGCGCGCCTGTTCAGTTGCTCGATAACTGGAATTCATTCGGAGAATAGAGTGTGCCAAAATATCCCGTTCTTGTTCCGCAGATCTATAGTTTACTGCTTGGCGCCGAGTTGAATGTGCTGCTCTATCCCTTTCTCGCTCATTTTCTCTATATTCAGGATCCTGTCTCCTTGTTGCTAACTGTTGAGAGTTTCTGAGCCGATCGTCATTTAAATTCCGTTCACGGTAACTGTGAAGATGTTGCCTCATAATTCGTTGACGTTGTAGTGCCGATTGTTTACGTAGTTTAGGCATAATTATTGATTGTCGAATTGGAACAGTTTTAAATCTGTATAGAAAACTTTTCAGTTATTTTCGTTGGTATTAGGTTATGTTTTGTTTAACGATTCGTTGTGAACTGATTTGTTAAAGTTGAGTTGGTTTATTATATACACAAATACTTACTGCCCAGGTAAGATGTTTTGTAAAAATCTGCGTAGAGTACCAGGTATATGAACCAAGTTGACGAGTGGGAGGGTTTTATTACCGCCAGGTATATTACATTAGTTTTATTATTATGGTTAACCTTTGTTTACTGGTAATTTAAGAGAGTTTTGATTATATAACCCACAGGTACATTTAATTATTATGTTATTGTTACCAAAATGCACTCTGTACTACCTGTAGAAACAGTACAAAAACAGGATCAAGCAAACAGAGGCAATAAAAATCACAACCATACTACCTGTGGCGATAAACTAAAATCTATTACCCTAAATTTGTGGCACAAACAATAACAACTTTTATAAACCATCATATAGGCGCTATACATACTCAAATAAAGTTGTTGCTACCGTAGACCTATAAATACAATGTCATACCCCATTGCAAACCCCAAATACTAAACGGAATATTATATAATGCTTAGCCACTGGATTAAGAACTTGTTACAAATTTCAAATAACAAATTTGGGCCAATTCCGTTTAAAATTGCGACTTACATTATCAAAATACCAAAAATCGGGAGGTACCGTCATATGGAGTCTAAAGTAAACGGGGACCTATACAGCGAATGTTTTGTCACCCGCTACAAACTTTTAATATCAATATCTTCATATCATCGGAACGATTCCGTGGAAATATGTGGCAACAAATCATCAAAATACTGGATACCAGGAGGTACCGTTATATGGGGGCTATATGAAAACGTTGACCTATACATATAATGTTACCCCCACTGGAGCTAGAATCCATTATGACTTACAAAGGCCAATTTTTAGACAAATCCGTGGAAAAATGTGGCAAAAATAATCAAAATACCGAATATCGGGAGGTACCGTTATATGGGGGCTTTATGAAAACGTTGACATATACATATAATGTTACCCCACTGGAGCCAGAATCCATTATGACTTACAAAGACCAATTTTTAGACAAATCCGTGGAAAAATGTGGTAAAAATCACCAAAATACCGAATAACGGGAGGTACCGTTATATGGGGGCTGTATGAAAACGTTGACCTATACATATAATGTTTCCCCAATAGAGCTAGAAGTCATTATGACTTACAAAGGCCAATTTTTAGACAAATCCGTGGAAAAATGTGTCAATAATCATCAAATTATCGAATATCGGGAGGTACCGTTATATGGGGCTACATGAAAACGTGGACCTATACATAAAATGTTACCCCACTGGAGCCAGCATCCATTATGACTTACAAAGGTCAATTTTTAGACAAATCCGTGGAAAAATGTGGTAAAAATCACCAAAATACCGAATAACGGGAGGTACCGTTATATGGGGGCTACATGAAAACGTGGACCCATACATATAATGTTACCCCACTGGAGCTAGAATCCATTACGACTTACAAAGGTCAATTTTTAGACAAATCCGTGGAAAAATGTGGCAAAAATAATCAAAATACCGAATATCGGGAGGTACCGTTATATGGGGGCTATACCAAAACGTGGACCGATATATCCCATTTCCAATACCAACCATCCTAGGGACAATACACACACTTGTGCCAAATTTCAAAGGTCTACGTCAAATAATGTGGGCTCTATCGTGATTTCAACAGACAGACAGACAGACGGACAGACAGACAGACAGACAGACAGACAGACGGACATCGCTAAATCGTCTTAGAATTTTATGCTGATTATGAATATATATACTTTATGAGGTCTACGACGAATATTTAGAGGTGTTACAAACGGAATGACAAAGTTAATATACCCTCCTACCCATGGTGGAGGGTATAAAAATACCCAAATTTAAGTACAGTTTTTTTCCTTTCAGACCAGTTTCCATCTGATAACGATATATATAAATTCTGCAACACATGCCACAAAATAATCAATGCGGGGAAGGTTCCTTCTATGTGTCTCTCAGAAGGTCTACATTTTCCAGCTATTCCGAGTGAACTTCAGGGCTTGACGTCGCTGGAAGAAAGGTTTGTTGCGCCACGAATTCCCTTTATGAGAATAGTTTCATTGGGTTATAATCGACAGTGTGCTGTAAGGGGTGCAGTAGTAAATGTCCCCATTTCACTCGATTCCACCGTCAACGTCCTTCCAAGAACGGCCGATCAAACTGAAGTTATCCAGGTTCATTTGAAGCGAAGAATATCTTACACACACTATTTTATGTCTGAAACGATTCGGCCCGGCAAAATTTTCGAAGCAGCAAGATACCTTATTGAAACCGAATTGTACAGGAAACATGAAATTTGTATTTCATCTGAATGGTTGGCCAATATGGGTCCTGCTGATCAAGTGCCGTTTATAGCAAATTCCGAAGATCGAAGTCTATTATCGAGCGTCATTGATTTTAACTTAGATGAAGATCACATTGAAGAACATAACCCCCAAGAAACCCTCTTAGATTATATTCCAGTCGAAAATGTTCAAATTCAAAATATTGAAATAGCTCCTGGTGAAGGCCATAGACCCATGGATTTGCTATTAGATGAGGACTCTGAAGAGCTATCATTTCCCACTATATACTGTGGTATTAAAAGAAAATCTACAGCGACAATAGCAAAATTGATAAAATCTGAAGCCCGGCGTTATGATAGAAGATGTGCGCGGGTAGACAAAGTCTTATACTCGTATAAAAAATTAGAGTTTTCTAAAATCAAGAACAGTATTTCTACTTGTTTGAGGAAGAAAATTGGTACTCGCAATTATACTGCAACGGATGCTCTTAATGACCGGTTCATACAAAATATAGTGCAGCACGACGAAGGGTATCACATTTTGAAAGGCGTGCGGTCTTCTCCAGCACATTGGGAGGCAGAGAAAAAGAAGGTCTTGGCTATGATCAGGCAATTTGGCATTCCAACGTTCTTTATAACTCTTTCTGCTGCTGAATCACAATGGCCAGAATTGATCGTTATATTGGTAAAAATTGCAGAAGGAAGGAATATTACCGAAGAAGAGGCAATGTCATTTAGCACCCAAAAACGGTACGAACTAATTAGGTCAGATCCAATTACATGTTCCAGGTATTTTGACCACAGAATAAGACACCTCTTCAAAAGTTTCACGGTTAATGGTGGAATATTCGACGAGTTTAATGTAATCAAATTCTACTGGAGAATAGAATTTCAACAGCGAGGGTCTCCTCATGTCCACGGCATATATTGGCTAAACAATGCCCCTTTGTTTGATATATCAGATCGAAATAGCTTCCAACGTGTTACGGATTTTGTAGATAAATTTGTTTCTACAGATTCGTCTAATAGCGAAATCCAAGACATAGTCCACTACCAGCAACACAACCACGGAAGAGCATGCCAACGTGAAATAAGAGGTCAAAAATTCTGTAGATTTCATATACCATATCCGCCAATGTCTAATACGGAACTTCTTTTGCCGTTTTCGGATGATGTAGATGAGCAACAATTATCAGCTCATAAGTGCAACTATGACAAAATTTATAATTTACTTAACGCAAAGTTAACAGATATAGAATGTGAACGATTAAATAATTTTGATCAGTTTTTGGCAGACCCACGGATTAATATGGACAAAGATGAATATCTTGCGGCGATCAGATCTTCTCTAAGAAAACCTAAAATTTTTCTTAAAAGATCCTTCAAAGACAGATCAATAAATGCTTTTAATTCGCGGATTTTAAAAATGCACAAAGCAAACATGGATATTCAATTTGTTCTGGATGCTTATGCATGCGTGTCATATATAGTTAACTATATAAACAAGTCGAATCGGGGTGTTTCACGTTTGTTGCAAGAAACAATGAACGAGATACGTGAAGGAAATTATTCTGTAAAACAAAAGTTGCAGCATATAGGTAATAAATTCATATCAGCATCCGAAGTCTCAGCCCAAGAAGCAGCTTACAATATCTTGGGAATGCATTTGTCTCAGTGTAGCAGCAGTGATGTTTATGTCAATACTCTCTTGCCAGAAAAACGTGTTCGCATACTAAAACCGAGGCAAGAGCTTCAAAATCTTTCTCCTGATTCAACCGATATTTATGTATCGAATTTACTTGAGCATTATATTCAAAGACCGGATAATCTAGGCGATGTATGTTTGGCTTATTTCGCTGCACATTATACATACTCTAAGACATTGCGCAAAAGGAATCGTCAACATGATGAGGAGGATGAAGATATTCTTGAAGATGACGAGGAACATCCTGATGATGTCGGGGCTTTGTTTCGCTTAAAAAATAATTCGGGTTACGTATATAAAAGAAGAAGTCCGGCTATAATTCGTTTTCCCTCATTTAGGGCCGACTTAAACAGGGACGACTATTTTCGCACATTGGTTATGTTATACTTTCCATGGCGTAACGAAGACGAAGACATTATAGGAAGAAACAACGAAGATACCTGCTCTATCTACATGGATGTAATTGAAAGGAACCGACAGCAGTTTGAAATGTTCAAGGATGGTGAATTACATGATATATTGCAAAGTATTCGTGAAGACAGTGATGGTGGTGAAGACCATGCGAGTAACGATAACATTACAAGTGACCAACTTTTAGACGAGGAGTTTAGAGCCTTGGTTGTTCCAGAATTAGAGGAAAATATAAATGTCTTCGACATTGACAACCACCATGAAGATGACCTGGAATCAGAAGCCAATGTACACTTAGTAAGACTCCCACCATTAGTAAATTTCGAAGAACTTCAGCATTTAATCAGAACGCTGAACAATAAACAGCGGTCTTATTTTCAACATCTTTTACAAAATATAGTTCAGAAAGTTCGATTTTATGAGTATGTTGCGGGAGGAGCTGGCGTAGGAAAAAGTCGCCTTATAAAAACTATTTATCAGGCAGTTACTTTTAGATATAATTCTATACCTGGCGCTAATCCGGATTTGCCAAAAGTATTATTAAGTGCTCCTACCGGAAAAGCTGCTTTTGGAATTGGAGGTGCGACATTACATTCACTTTTTTCCCTTCCAGTAAACCAGTTCCGAGGAGAGCTACGTCCACTAAGCAGTGATCTTGTTAATAAGCTCTTGGTTAAATTTACAGATCTGAAATTGATCATAATAGACGAGGTCTCCATGGTTGGATGTAGAATGTTAGGTTTCCTTGACGCACGCCTGAGGCAGATTTTTAAAACCACTGAAGCCTTTGGAGGAATCTCTATAGTTTTGTTCGGAGATCTAAAACAACTGCCTCCAGTTGGGGATAAATGGATATTTAGTACCAATACTGCTAATCCATACCACATCCTCGCAGGGGGTGGCTTGTGGGATCTGTTTTCCTTTAATGAGCTAACAGAGTTTGCACTGAACCGAATGTCAACTGGAGAAATGACTGAAGAAGATGTTTCGCTCATAAAGTCAAGGGTCATACCAACATCGGAGATACCAAATGAAGCAATTCATTTATTCCTGTCAAACGAAGAAACCGATAATTATAATTCCCTTAGATTGGAACAAATCACATCTGAACAATTTGTTTCCAAGGCATCCGATATTTTGAAGTCAGATTCATTAGCTATCGGTCAACGGAATCAAATTTTAAGTTCGGTTCTCAATTTAAAGACCTCAGAAACGCAAGGACTTTGTAGTGAACTAAAATTAAAATTGAGTGCAAAATATATGATGACGATCAATATTGATACCAACGATGGCCTAGTCAATGGAGCCACTGGCATACTGAAGCATATTGATTTTGGTAGAAACTCAACAAAACCAATAACGCTTTGGATCTTATTTTCTGATGAAAGTGTTGGAAGAATGGCGAGAAGAAAAAAACCACATCCCACAGAATTATTGTGGACTCCCATTGAAAAGTGCCGCCGAACGTTCCAGTACAAACGGAATGAACAAATAACTATAGAACGCTTACAGTTTCCATTGGTAGTTGCAGAAGGTATAACCATACACAAAAGTCAAGGCGCAACCTATGAAAAAGTTGCTGTTCATGTTCGGAAAGGTATGAGTAGGGCTTCTCTCTATGTCGCTTGTAGTAGAGCCACTAAAGCAAGTGGGCTATACATTATTGGAACATTTACTCCACCAAAACCTTTCTGCAGCTCTGATGTTGTCAAAATAGAATTGGAACGGCTTAGATTGCATAAAGCCATACACTTGCAGCATAGTAAGTTTAACACATCGAATAACGCTTTCACAATATTTTATCAAAACATACAAAGTCTGAGTGCTCATCATTCTGATATTTCTAGTGATGTCACTCTAATGCATTGTGACCTATTGTGTTTTGTGGAAACGTGGACATACCCGGAAGAAGAACTTTTCTTTGACAATTTCTCAATATTGTCACGAATAGATTGCAATCATACTGAAGGAAGAGTAAGAGATAAGAGGGGTATCGCAATTTATATTAAGAACGAAAAGTTTTCTGAGGCAAATATTATTTGTCAAAAAGATCTAAGCAGAGGCAGAAAATCATTTCAGTATTCCCTCATCCAATTCAGAGATTTGTATCTTATAGTACTTTACAGGAATTCTTCATATCCCGAATGCAACTTCAAACGTATTTTACTTGAAGCTATATGTGATATTAGAGAACGTTTCGGCGATAATTCAAATATTGTAATTGTCGGGGATTTCAATATCTGTAGAAGTAGTCGAACTAGTACAATTGAAACTGCTCTTCGTTCAATGGGCTTATTATCAAAGTTGGAGAGAAATATACCAACAACGAATCACGGTACGCACATCGATTGGGTATTTAGTAAAGAAAATTTAAATATTAATTGTAGCACTTACGCCACAGTTCACAGCCACCATGATGGAATAGTAATATATAATTAGAATGTTATACTTATAATATAGAATGTAAACACATTTTTTAATAGATTTAGTTTTTATAGAGTTTTGTAAAATATTTTATTGTTTACTCTGTAATCTGTATTAATATATAGATTTATGTTTGATCATAAACATAATATTAATGCAATGAATGACGAATTCGATTCATGTATGACTTCTATATATTTAATTATATTGAAATCCATATTAAGAATAAAATGTAAAATAAGATAACGTTAATTAAGATAGCAATAATTAGATTGTATTTAGACAATGAATTTTAGGTAATAAAAAACATACAGATAAAAAACAAAATAACCATTTTTTATGTTTTGTGTTAGAATAAGAATTTGATGTACAGATGAGGGTTCTTTTCAGATTTGGCGTTTCAAACATGTTTCTAAAACGTGTTTATTTCTAATGTGTACAATTTTCTTATGTGTACAATTTTTTCTGTGAAAGTTATGAGAAAGGAAAGGTGTTTCAAAAAAAATGTTTACATCCGTTTGAAAGAAAAGAAAACAAATATTTAGTTTTACTTCAAACACTAATTGTGGTGGAGGGTATACAAAGTTCGGCCCGGCCGAACTTAACGCCTGTTTTACTTGTTCTCTTTCAAAAAGCGATCACAAATTATAGCTAAAAACCCCGAAATGTCAATATTTTAAAGTATGCTATTTTTCCTCCTTCAAAAAGTGATCACAAATTATAGCTAAAAACCGCGAAATGTCAATATTTAACGAGTTATGGCCATTTTAAAGTATACTATTTTTCCTCTTTATAATAGTGATCACAAATTATAGCTAAAAACCCCGAAATGTCAATATTTAAGGAGTTATGGCCATTTTAAAGTATACTATTTTCCCTCTTTATAATAGTGATCACAAATTATAGCTAAAAACTCCGAAATATCAATATTTAAGGAGTTATGGCCATTTTAAAGTATGCTATTTTTCCTCCTTCAAAAAGTGATCACAAATTATAGCTAAAAACCCCGAAATGTCAATATTTAAGGAGTTATGGCCATTTTAAAGTATACTATTTTTCCTCTTTATAATAGTGATCACAAATTATAGCTAAAAACCCCGAAATGTCAATATTTAAGGAGTTATGGCCATTTTAAAGTATGCTATTTCTCCTCCTTCAAAAAGTGATCACAAATTATAGCTTAAAACCCCAAAATGTCAATATTTAAGGAGTTATGGCCATTTTAAAGTATACTATTTTTCCTCTTTATAATAGTGATTACAAATTATAGCTAAAAACCCCGAAATGTCAATATTTAAGGAGTTATGGCCATTTTAAAGTATACTATTTTTCCTCTTTATAATAATGATCACAAATTATAGCTAAAAACTCCGAAATGTCAATATTTAAGGAGTTATGGCCATTTTAAAGTATGCTATTTTTCCTCCTTCAAAAAGTGATCACAAATTATAGCTAAAAACCCCGAAATGTCAATATTTAAGGAGTTATGGCCATTTTAAAGTATGCTATTTTTCCTCCTTCAAAAAGTGATCACAAATTATAGCTAAAAACCCCGAAATGTCAATATTTAAGGAGTTATGGCCATTTTAAAGTATGCTATTTTTCCTCCTTCAAAAAGTGATCACAAATTATAGCTAAAAACCTAGAAATGTCAAAATTTAAGGAGTTATGGCCATTTTAAAGTATGCTATTTTTCCTCCTTCAAAAAGTGATCACAAATTATAGCTAAAAACCCCGAAATGTCAATATTTATGGAGTTATGGCCATTTTAAAGTATGCTATTTTTCCTCTTTCAAAAAGTGATCACAAATTATAGCTAAAAACCCCGAAATGTCAATATTTAAGGAGTTATGGCCATTTTAAAGTATGCTATTTTTCTCTTTCAAAAAGCGATCACAAATTATAGCTAAAAACCCCGAAATGTCAATATTTAAGGAGTTATAGCCATTTTAAAGTATGCTATTTTTCCTCCTTCAAAAAGTGATCACAAATTAAAGCTAAAAACCCCGAAATGTCTATATTTAAGGAGTTATGGCCATTTTAAAGTATACTATTTTTCCTCCTTCAAAAAGTGATCACAAATTATAGCTAAAAACCCCGAAAAGTCAATATTTATGGAGTTATGGCCATTTTAAAGTATGCTATTTTTCCTCTTTCAAAAAGTGGTCACAAATTATAGCTAAAAACCCCGAAATGTCCATATTTAAGGAGTTATGGCCATTTTAAAGTATGCTATTTTTCTCTTTCAAAAAGCGATCACAAATTATAGCTAAAAACCTTGAAATGTCAATATTTAAGGAGTTATAGCCATTTTAAAGTATGCTATTTTTCCTCCTTCAAAAAGTGATCACAAATTATAGCTAAAAACCCCGAAATGTCAATATTTAAGGAGTTATGGCCATTTTAAATTATGCTATTTTTCCTCCTTCAAAAAGTGATCACAAATTATAGCTAAAAACCCCGAAATGTCAATATTTAAGGAGTTATGGCCATTTTAAAGTATGCTATTTTTCCTCCTTCAAAAAGTGATCACAAATTATAGCTAAAAACCCCGCAATGTCAATATTTAAGGAGTTATGGTCATATTAAGGTATACTATTTTTCCTCTTTATAATAGTGATCACAAATTATAGCTAAAAACCCCGAAATGTCAATATTTAAGGAGTTATGGTCATTTTAAAGTATGCTATTTTTCCTCTTTCAAAAAGTGATCACAAATTATAGCTAAAAACCCCGAAATGTCAATATTTAAGGAGTTATGGCCATTTTAAAGTATGCTATTTTCCTCTTTATAATAGTGATCACAAATTATAGCTAAAAAACCCCGAAATGTCAATATTTAAGGAGTTATGGCCATTTTAAAGTATGCTATTTTTCTCTTTCAAAAAACGATCACAAATTATAGCTAAAAACCCCGAAATGTCAATACTTAAGGAGTTATAGCCATTTTAAAGTATGCTATTTTTCCTCCTTCAAAAAGTGATCACAAATTATAGCTAAAAACCCCGAAATGTCAATATTTAA